ATCACATCACCAATAAGATCTTTGCTCTCAAGAGTGATTTCTTCATCTCATGGACCAATCTGCTGGATGAAATGTTCCTAGGAGTCTTCTTGGAGAAGCAATGGGGACACTGACTCCTCAGAGAAAGAAAAGGCAGACAGATCCAAAATTTGTCTTTCCAGATCTGATCAGCTGCCTAGCAGTTTTTTATATCTGGTGGTATTAACATCATAGCAACACAGAGACAGCTCAGAAGCAAAATTTCTCATTACAGTTGACTTCAAAGCTTTTTCAGTGAAATTACAGTTTTTGTGAAGTGCAAGTTGGTGTGGCATGCTGAATGAAGACACTTGCAGTGCCCAGCATTGCTGACCATGGCCTGGCCCTGCCTGCTTGCAGAAAGAGAAGAGGCTGCCCTGCTGTGCCTTGGGGGCTCCTGGTGCTCAGCTGTCGTTCCTCCCAGTGTCATCTGCACCAGCCAAGCATGCAGTGCCACAGCCCCAAGTGCAGGTGAGGGGAAAGCATTTTGTGCTGTACAAGTGGTTCACATGGAGCTGCCCTCTGGGTGGGCTGGGCTGCCATCAGCCCCATCCTCCTGGGAGCACAGCCTGGCCTCTCAGTCACATTCCAGCTCAGCCTGCCACCAGAGCCTTCCAGCCAGCCAAAGGGAGCTCAGGAAAAGCTGGAACAGCTCTTTAAATACTAAAGAGATGCTGCCTAACATGAAAGGGGGTGGGGATAGGCACTGCTAAGTCCATCTCCCTGCCTACCCTGCAAGCAGCCAGGTGTAAGGGAAGCCAATCCATCCCTGCTATGCTAGGCACAAAAAGTGTCTAGGAGGAAGAATGAACAGGTGTACATGCAGTATTTTTAGTTTTACATCAAAACATGCCTTAATTAGTTTCTTTAAAAAGTGATTGCTCGACAAAAACTCTGATCTTGCTACAAAATTTCACTTTGACATCGATAGGGAATTGCATGCTCGCTTACCTGCATTTGCATATTGCCCCTCCCAGCCCCAGCACACAATTCCCTTAAAGCTTGATAATTAGGCATTTTAGCAACCAATCTTTACACCAAAACACACGAGCCCACCCGTGCTTTTTATTGCCATAGGAATCTTCATTTTTTAAAACATAAAATATTGAGCAACAGGCCATATTCAGCCTTATAATGGATGGAAAAACTCAAAATAGAAGGAGCACAGCCTAGCCAGTTAACCAAAAATGTGTTTGCTTCCAGGATTGTGCTTAAGGAGAGCCAAGATCCAGAACAGGAGAACATTATAATTAAGAGAATGAAAAAACTTTCACTTGTAGTCAGCTATTTTATATCTAGCAATATATAGCATGTTACTATTGCCATATGTAAAATACTGCATTAAACATTTATTTATTTCTCTGTATATTGTGTGAGGAACAACTCTGGGTGCCTTGAAAGAGTGCACAAGAAAACATAGTTAACAATCTCATTTTTTAGAACTGAGTAAAAACTGGGAAAATACTGTCCCCATGAATTACTGCATCACTATCAGCTAGAAAAGCCAGGGGCAAAACCAGATGGAATTTGCTTAATTAGGTCCAGATCCAGTGAAGTATATACATATCTCTAAGCCAGCAAGAGAGCCTATGGACAGCAAACAAGTTAAAATAACCATGTTGAAAGGAAGCAGAAAGCTAAATATGGCATGGATTTCAGTTTTTACAAATGGTATCTCATAGGTTCAGGATTATCTGCAAGATCAAGCATTTTGCACAATCAGTGTTTTGCCTCTTGTCAGAGAGTTGCCTAGTTGAAAGTTTTAGAAAACTGTCTTGAAACTGATTAACACCCCGTTTAATTCCTCCTCATTTCTCTCTTACTTTTATAGAAAAAAAAGTTTCCCTGTAAAGGAATAAAACAGCTATTGGCACTGCAGACTTTAGGAAACCACATGCATAAAATTATAAATTTAGGACTAAATTATGATTCAAAACCAATGGACAAGGAAAAAACTACTTGCCACTAGGCAAAGCAGAAACAATGCTATCAAGTTGTGGATGACACACGGGGTTCACAGATATTCCCTATCTGCACAGCAAGACATTCCTTTCTCCATCTTTTCTTGAGATAAGACACCCATCTGTCAGATCATTACAGCAATGATAGAGAAGATCTCTGCCAGAGCCTATTATTTGACATATTGTACATAAAAAGCAATTGGCCAGAGGGAATTCCCCAAATGTGGTAAGCCAGGATCCAGCTCAGCTAAGGGCCAAAGTGCCCTGAGCTGTGAGGAAACCGAAATGAAGCTCCAGAAATGAGTCGTGCACAGGGGCAGGGCCACCCGAGAGGCAAAGGGTGCAGCAGCTGACTCAGACAGGTGACACAAATTATACCTGACCTGCCAGAAAATATTCATTGACTCCCAACTTCCAGTCAAATCTAAAGACCACAGTTTTGCCTAAGCAAAATGCTTCATCTTACTTATTCAATAATGGGATGTAAAAACTAATTCTAGAGTAAAAGATTGATACAAAATGAGCAGTATAAATAAAGAGCTAAGTAATATCATATATCTGCCACAGCTTAAGCCAAATTTAAAATGGTAATGTTTTCAGATATCCCTAAACCTTGGGTACCTCCTGTGTCCAGAAATAAAAATGTTATTTTGTTCCTAGAAGCCAAAAGTTTGAGGCCATAATAATATATTTAGATAACCTATCTTAGCAAGTAAGACCAAGGGGACACAGCCATGCTGAATTTTGACCCTCTTGAAGTTTGCAACTGTTTTGCTCTATAGAATACTTTAATATTCATTGAACTGTTTTCTGGCTTTGTGGCCTGAGGAACAAAAGGCTCCTATCTGATAAAGGCTGAACATCCCTGATCCAAATAATAAAACACAATAAAATTATGGTTGCGCAAAGGACAACTTTGATTTTTTTCTCTCCAGGTATTTGCTTAGTTACTTCAATTATCTTAAAAAGGTGAACATATCTTTAAAGAAAATGTGAACAAACTAAGCTAGCCTTATGCTGCAGTAGCTATGACAACAGACTTTGAAATAAGTGGTGAAAAAGCTAGACCTGAATCTTAATTTCATTTAATTATTTTTTCAGTCTACTCTTCACACTAACTACTTTGCACTTTACTCTGAAATTGTACAGAAACTGGAATCTCTTACTAACACCAGATGTACAGTATCTTCCATAGGCAATTCTACAGATTTTATTTAGGTTAGAAATGAGATTACTCAGAGAATGAGTAGACAACTCCTAATGCCTTCAGATGAAGCCAGACTGTTTTCTGGGTAATGCTGTTCCCAAAGTTGCTGTGTTCAGTGCAGACTGGCATGTGAGATATCTGACTATGTGAAGGAGTAATCCCATTGGATCAACCATTTCCAAACGGTATCAAATCTTCTATTAAAGGTGAGATTTTCAAAATAAAGACACAGTAGAGAAGGTAAAGTTAAAAGTCAGATTTTCAGAGAATTCACTCACTGGGCTGAAGTGAGAAAGATGATACTTCAGTTCTAACACCTCTTCCTTTTTTCTTTCAGTCCTTCCCATCATCCTTGGACAGTCTTTTATTGATGAAATCCACAATCACGCACACTACCACCTTCACTAGACAGGTTTGGATCCCTGCTCCTATCTCCTTTCCCATTCCTTTGAAATCTTTCTAGCAGAAGGAGCAGGAAGCAAATTCTTCCCCTCCCTCCATCAAGCACAGCAGTTTAGCAATCAAGAACACTAAAAAAAAAAGGAGAAAAACCCAGACCATTACCACTAACATCTCTTTTTACCCTGTAAATGTTCCATTGCCGTATTTTATTTGAACAAGTCCAGGGCTGCACAGGGAAGCCAAATCACTGTACAGTTGTGACTACACAGAAGAGGAGTCACTTGAACCTCTGGTGAAGGGAGACACGTGTGCTCCCAAAGCCAGTTATGGAACTGCAGCCACCTACAAGCTGACCAGGCCAGGGACATTACCAGCACCTTCCCCCACTGACCCCACTTCTCCAGGGCCAGCAACCCCAAATTCACTGTTGTGGATCACAGGGCACCACCGCAGAGGTCTGCCTGTGTCATGCAAGCATCAAATACAGAAACAGATGGGCATCATGCTACAAATTACTTATTAAGAACTGATTGTGAGTAATAGAGCTTCATGATTCTCCCAGAAAGACAAAAATGCATAAAAAGCAAATAAAATATCAGCCATTCTTTTTCATCTTCATTCTTAAAGGAGAATATAATTTTTTTGATACCCCCAAATTTTTTTTACTTAAATTTTTCAGCTTTTTCAGTATGGTGCCTCCTGCTGCAACGAATGAAATAAGACTGGTGGAACAAGGACTGGAAGAAAGCAGCCTTAGCCTCCATTATCCTTTTTACCAGTTTTTGAGACTTTGAGATTGATACAGGGACCATCTAATGTGTGAGCAACTACAAATATATTCACAAGCAGAGCTAGAGGCATTGGTCATCAGACACCTCCCCCTGCTGAGGAGTATGGGCTGCTCCACAGACAAACACATGGCACATTCCCTGATTTGTCCTCTTTTCAAGCTGCAGCACTCTCCCACTCTCTTGTAGATGTGCCCCACATTTCCAGTACCTGGGGTGCAAATGAGTCCTCCACCTATGGCTTGCAGAGTCATGAACACTTAGGAGGTAATTACAGAATTCACCTGCAGCTCCCAAGCAGCTGAAGACCATCATCACAGGTGAGAAATGAAGCCCACTCCTCAGCTAAATTTCTAGAAATCTAAGAACGGACAACAGGGGACAAATCAATAAAATAGAATTCACAGCGCTGGGTGTGTAGCTGTAGCCAGAGGCACCCCAGTTAACAACAGCAGCCCTTCTTTCTATTGCACCAGTCAAAAGCACATTCACAAACCATTATACATATTCAAACTTGTTTTAAACTCTTTTACCTGTTTTAGGAACTTCTTAGCCCAGCCGCTGCTCTGATCTGCCTTTTTAGAGCCTGTGCAGCAATCTTGGTTGTGGTTTTGAGGGTCTTGTGTCACCTCCTCAGAGGAGCCCCTGTTCCATGGTTTCAGCAGGTGACAGTCCAAGTGGCAGTAGCAGGGGTCCTTGCCACATTCCTCAGGTGTGCCCTGACCATGCAGACAGTTTAGTTACTTCAGTTACTGCAAGTTAACCTCAAGTACTCTAAATCAACATCACCTACTTCACATGGAAGCATAGGCATACTTCATATGTCTGATATATTTTAATTATTGCCAGTTAGCTACAAAAATAAAAGCATTTGTTATTTCACAACTATAGCTACTTCTGCAAAAGTTAACATTATATTACAATGCACAACACATAGAATCCACTTTAATATTTGCAAAAGCCAAAGCTATAATATGTGTTTATCACATCGCAACAAGTCCTTAGTCAGGAGCAGAGACCCAGGTTTTATTGACTGCAACAAATAAAAAACATATTTGTGTAACCCCCAAGGACAAAGAGCTGTACAAGCACTAACCAAAGCACAAGCCCAGCTTTCAAAGACACCATTTGCATTTCCTCTAGGACTGGAGGTGGTTAAAAAGGGCCTACAGCTGCAACCTTTTATTCTAATTACCCACCTTGGGAGGGGAGAAGCAGCATTAACTCTTCCGTGGCTGTCTCAGGGAGTGTAGGGAAGGGTGTGGTGCCCAGAGCATTCCTTGTTTGTGAGAACTTTTTACCATTACATTTGGAAATGCTCCCACAGTATTATGCAATCTGCACTCTCCTTGCAGCAATGATCTTCCTCTTCCACCCTCAACAGAATCGAGGTGAAAGAGTCCTGCCATACATTCTGGCCTTTATGTATTCAAAAAAACACTTCTTAACAACAGTTTTGTTTCTGCATCCACTACACTCAATGCAGAAAGAGTTCATTTGTTTTCTGATGGTGAGCTTTGTGAAGTGCATGCACAGCTACTTTTAAATCCCTCCTCTTTAAATCAGATACAATTTTTAAAGCCTTTTTCCACTGGCTGCAGTGGGCTCTGCATGCTAGGGAAGTAAAACAGAGCCATGTTTTGTACTAGAGTTGATATGGTCTTTCCATTTTTCCTCTCTCCAGAATGCAACAGCACTGAGGACCTTGTTTCAGTCTCTCATGTAGCAAATTTGAAAGTTATTCTGCTTTTTGTAATCATGGAATAAGTCATGGGCACTTGAAGTTCAATAAATCCCCCAAGGCAGCCAGCTTGGTTTATTTTCAGCTCCAATGACCCACAGAAGGAATTTTTTTTTTGCAACATAGGAATTGGTTTTTTTTCCCCCTTATTATATATAAACAATTCTCTTAATATTAGAGGGAAAATGTTCATATTAAAAGGCAGTGTTTATTAAAATATCAGCTTCTGCCTGCTGCAGGAGGATTATTAGCATCACTGACTTCCTTCTCTGTTCCAACAATCTATTGCCAAATTTCTCAGGGAAGGACTTGTGTGGTTGTTGCTCCTTGACAGGGAGTGTCTGGGAAGTTTGTCCTTTATGTAAACACAGTGCTGCAGAGAGGGAAAAAAAGAGGTGCTGAGTTTCCTGATGAGGTGGGTGACAGCAGAGCCCCCTTTCCTACACTGGGTCACTGAGGTCTTCAGTAGAACATGAGATTAATTATTTCCTTCCTAAGAATCAGATTGGTATAGCCTGGAGAAATATCTTCTCAGAAAGAAAGGCATATTTACTGCTGCATTTCATACACTGAGCTACTGTGTACAAACAGACAGGGGCACAGCACTGTTAAAGGGGAAAAGTGAGGATGATGTGATGCTCATATACAGTGACATCTAGCAATGAACTGACCCAGAAATGACACACTCAAATGGTGAAGAATGAGTATAAATTGGCAAGTATTATGTCGTAAATATCACAAATGGCTCCATATAATGTATCGCTGGAAAAGGTATTTAGTTTATTTAAGTCTTAATGTAATACTTTTTTTCTTTACTTATTTCTTGAATTCATAAAACCCAAAACAAATCTGGATTTTCAGTGCAGAGATTTAGAATTCAGGCTACAGAAACGAATTTATCACTTAAGATGTAAAAATAGTACTGTCTAAAAAGGGAGACTTTCTTATTTAAGAAGGAGAATCTGAAAAAGAGTACCTAATTAAAGTGTTTTCTTTGGGTTTTTTTGAGAGAAAAATGTATGAGAGATGACATGTATTTAAATCTTTAAAAACCTAATCTCTTCTATGGGTTTCATTTGATTTCTGTAGTATGAAAACATATCCTCCTCTTCTTTCTCCTGGTTTGTTCTAGGGCAGACAAATAAAAATGCCTTTTTATAAAACTCTCTATTTGCTCAACCTATTTTTTAAACTGTGTTTCTTTACAATGTTTGATGAAAAACTACTGACTGTTTCCCTGAGAGAAAATTGTTCAGTCAAAGTTCTGTTTTTGGTTGCTGAATATCAGCAGCACTTCTGTGCACTCTGGCTATTAAGGATGGCTGCCATATTTTCTTTCTGCTTCTACCCATTATCGTTCTGGTTGCCATACAAGTGTGACTTTAATCCTCCTGGTGTGACAGAAACAAAGACAATTAAAGATCTGGTGACCATCTAAGAGTAATTTAAAGATATAAAGGTACTTTGAACAATCACAGACTTCCTTTCCAGGAATGTCTGCTTTCCTTGGACACTCCCTTGCATGATCAGTTTGTGAAAGCAAGGTTTCACACACAGATCCACATTCCCCCCACCAGTCATCAGATGACTGCCATTTTCTGGGGATTTTAATTTGGGGGGAAATTAGTTTTGTTTTGTTTGCTTTTTTTTTTTTTTTTAATAGAATCCCTTGACTACTACTAACATGTAATTTTCTTTCCCTGTTTCTTAGTCATTTAGGAGGAGGGTCAAAACCCCTTCTGTATAGAATACAGTTTACAGGGATATCCTTTTCTTTCCCTGACTGTTTACAAAACACATAGCATGAAGTTTTTTTGGTCTGATACTTTAAATTGTATGAACTATGGAAAAATGTTGAGGTTATGAAGGAAATTGTGATTTATACTACTACAACTTAGGCTTCAGACCCACTTGTACTCTTCTGTGAAGAGCAGAAAACACCTAACGTGGGATGGTCAAAGCTTTCTCATCTCAGAAATGTTTTATTTTCTAAAAACCAGTACAGTAACCATTCTAAATGGCCACAGGGACCTCCACCAGCCCTGCCCTGCACTTTTCAGAGTGCAAGCCTCAGGTGATTTACAGCCAACAAAGAAGCTGCATACACAGGGAAGGGAAAGAAGGGTGTCTTTGAGAGCACCCAGCTGCTTTGTGCTCCTTTCCACTTCACTGTATATCCAAGGAGTGCTAAACACAGCAGCAACATTTAAAGTCTTGGCAAGCAAAGCTGCAAAGTCTTGCTAAGAGCAGTCGGGCCATTAGTGGCCGTTCAGTCAGAAAGAGCACGACTGTCTCAGAGCTGTTAGGGAGAGGGGAGAGGCTGGTAGTGAGAAAATGTTGTACTGGAGGATGGCAATGAGCACTTGCTTGGCTCAGCCGTGTGAGAACAGCAGCCCTCGCTGCAGGGCTGATGGACAGGGGGGAGCCAAAAGGGAAATCAGCACTTCATAAAAGTTAATGACCAAGGATAAACTTTGTGAGTCCTGACCAAAGCAGGATTCAAGTGGAAAGCACTGGACTATTTCCTCTTCCATTGTTCCCTCTTGTTTTGGACCAATATCCCTTTCTTTTTTTGTTATTATTACTGTTACTTTTTAATATATGCCTTTGTGAGAAAGCCATGAATAAAGACACCCTCCATTATTTTCTTCCATGTCTCTATCAGATCTGACTCAGCTGAGCCATCCCTTTTCTTTTCTGCTTTCCCAAAGGTAATATCTCAAGTGAGATTAAAGATATCCTCTTCCAGATAGCCCATTTTTGCTAAATTTGTTCATTCATGAAGGCAAACATTGGCAGACCTTAAATCATCACAGAGAGGGGCACTGGTGTTCTCAGTTCTAGGCATGAAGTATGTATAGGTACCTATGCTGGCCAAGACTAACTGTGACACAATAAATAGCACTCTAACAATAACAAATGTAAATAAAACACCTGAATTTCTTTCCAAAAAATAACCTTCTCCTAACCATTTAATTTTCTTTCCTTTTTACCCCCATATTTATCCCTCTATTTTGCCTAGCATATTTTAATGCTTGTGTAATCTGTAGCCAGCTCTGCAATTATTTTTCATAGTGTAAGCATTTTTGTGTAAAATTCATACTAGTGGGCAAGGCATGGGAGATGAGTTACAGTGTTTGTTATCCAATACTGGCTCAAGCACAGGCATTGTGGATTAGGGAGGAGGTCTAATGCTGATGAAAGCCTGCCCTGCCAGAAGTGCCCACACCAGCCCCAGCACAGTGGTTGCCTGCACAACACAGCCCTGAAGTCATTAAGTTTTCTTGCTGGTTTGAAAAATTAGAGTTTTATTCCAAACCTTATCATTCACTCTGTGACCACAGGTTTAATATTTCCTCTTTGTTTTCTGTTTTCCCAGTTGTAAATGACTTATAAAGATTCTACTCAATTTTAAGGCATTTTGAGCCATATGGGATGGGGTGGGGGGACTCATAGTCATTCATGCTCAATTTTGATGACAGTGGTGAGTGGCATAAAGCAGAAAGAATCCCAAGGAAAAAGTCACTTCTAAGTTTGGTGCCATAAAGAAAGCTCTGGGATACTTGAGCAAGAGCCAAATCTAAAACCAAAATAATTCCAATAGAGCCTGTAAGATATAGAATAAATATGAATACACTTTCAGTATTCTGCCTTATCAAAACTGCATTTATGATGGAATAAAAAATTATTGCATTGCTAAAGGAACAGTCATAACTGTGAAGAAAAATGTTGAGTTATTATGGCAGACTACACAGCAACACGGCATTTATGGCTCCACTCAGGGCAGATTGCTCAGTCAGGATTTTTCTTACATATATTACCATATAAACCTCCTGTGCCACTTGCAGTTTTGCAGAGTTCAGGTGATGAAAGAGTAAGAGGGGGATAACTTCACTTATTGCTGTGGAAACCTGTTTATCATCCATGTCTAGAATTACTATATTTTTACTTGAATTGGAAAAATATTCATTAACTCTC